AATCAACAAACATACAAACATCAAACTATCAATCATGAACCCAGTCCGTTTCATCACCGTTCTCGTCGCGACCGCTCTGGTCACCGTCGCCGCTCCTGTGGCAGTCCCCAACCCAAACCCCGGATTCGATTTGCCGACTACCACGGCAGAGGCGACCCCTAATGGAGCTGTCGCCTACTGCTGGCCTTGGCTCGGATGCAGGCCTTACTGAGGATAGTGGTCGTTGAGTTGTGTACGACATGAAGTATGCGTCGCTCAAAGTGATTGGTACATTACCTCTGCCGCTCCCAACCTTGGAGGTTGTAATCTCCGACATCATGACTGGACTCTAGCGCCTCCGTTCCCTTACTGGTTCTACCCTACTTGACGAGCTCACACCGCCCATCGTCTTTCCACTCGTTTTCTTCCTTGGTACGAGTCCCGGCTCGCCTGATTTCTATCCCTTACTTTCTCGTTTTCTCATTTAATCTTCGAAGTGTATTCATCTTCAGTGCTATAAAGATTTCTCACTCTACCGACAGTTGATCTTTTCCTTCCTGGCCTATGACTAGCGTTGACTCCTTGCCTGAGCTTCAAGTCTCCTCAATAATCCCAATATTCGCTCGGATGTGAGAGCAGCAAGTTGTGAAGATGACGTCGAGTTCGGTGATAAGTCGCTTGGAGAGTAGTCAGGCACGCCGCAACACACAGCGAGCATAGATTCCCCTAGGGCCCCATGTGCTCACCTCGTATGACCACCTGACTATAAAAGCACTGGTCTTGGAAACTAGAAGGTTTTTAACTTTTCGCACGTCCTCCCTCTTGGCTTCTTGCCTGCACGCGCTAGTCTTTCGTCCTCTGTCGTCACTGCCATAAAAAGTAGCTATCTGCTCTTTTGGGATTTGGACCCATTGAAGTACTGCTAACTTACCTAGGTGAGCTCTTCGTTGCCATCACGCTCGGCCACTATGCTGTGATACCCAACTCCTTCATTAACCAATTCCATACACCCAAACTACTTTCTACGAACTTTTACCACGCTCAGAGTTGTTTTGGCTGCTCCAAGTGTCGACTTTGTAGCCCCAAACTCTTCACCACTCCCATCCCCCTTTCCTCTTCAACTCCCGCCATATAGGTAACTGACACACGTTTATATAGACCCCAACACAACCGACTATGAACCCAATCCGCTTCATCACCATTCTCGTTGCGACTGCTGTCGTCGCCATCGCGGCTCCAGTCCCAGCTCCCAACCCGAATCCTGGATTTGGATTACCGACGAGTACAGCAGAGGCAACTCCAACTGAAGGAGCCGCTGCTAATGGGTGCTGGAACTGGATGGCATGTCAGGACATTTGAGGATAAGGTGGTACCCGAGCCCGGACACCCGCGTGCATATGTTCACACGATGAAGGGCTCATCGTCCAGCAATCAACTGTCTCCTTATCCTTATAACGTCTAGTCTTCAACATTTGCATTTGGAATCGGAGTCGGCTTTCTTCAAAACTTTATGAACTGGCGCGACCTTCCCTCGAGAGCGGTTGGTGCAATATGCGACTCGTATTGCGGCAAATACTCCAATAACCTACAATTCGTTCAGTCTCGCAAAAGGTCCCAGTCAAGTTGTGATTGGGATAATAGGCCACCTTCCTTCTCCCTCTTCGATTCGTCTTCTATACCCAACCCCGAGCGACTTGTCACCGAACCCGATCCCGTCTTCACAACTCTTGGCTTTTTTGCTTTCAAATCCGAACTTTAAGAGATAAAGGGTTATTGAAAAGTCAACGCTACTCAGCCGTCGTGAGCCAACTGTTGAGTAGGGTGAGAAAAATCTGTATAGCACGAAAGATGGATACACCTCTATGATCAAAATGCCAAAACCAGAAAAAGAGGGATCGGAACTGGGGTGAGCTGAGGCTCATACCAAGGAAACAAACCGAGTGGAAGGGGACCGGCGGTGTGAGCTCTTGGGGAGAGAAGAGTGAAGGGTGGCAAGATTATGCGAGACTGCAATCATCCACGCATAGACGAGAAGGCGTTATAAGCGTCAACGCGCATAAAGATGGGGTTGGGTATAGAAGACGAATCGAAGAGGGAGAAGGAAGGTGGCCTATTATCCCAATCACAACTTG